GATCCAACAGTGATGGTTGGGAACTTGTGTAATTAGGAGAATCGCAGGTTTGAGTTTGGGGTTTTAGGACACTGGAATCGACTTTAATTCCGTTCTGATTATATTAGAAAAAAAACTATTCGCTTCTTGATTTCGTTCTGGTGTCTAGACGGCTGACATTTTTTGTTTTTGTGAAGCTTTTATCAGTACATAAGATAAGATGGTTTTTCGATTTGAATATGGTCCTTTTGGTTTTCATCAGCAAGAAGAGAAACGTATATACACAAGAATTATCTGTCTTACAAAAAACAAATTAAATAGAGACAACAAATACCAATGAAGGTTGATGATATATGAAGCTAAGATTGCTTCAACAAGGGGTAGATCGATAAACAAGCTTATGTTGATTTGTTTGGCTTTGACATTGAATATGACATGATCTTGCTTTATCTCTTAGCTCTTGAAATGCTCTCATTGTCTCTGCATCAAATCCTCCGGCGAACTGAAACAACATAAACAGATTTTAAGAGTTTGAACCAAAACCGAAACAGCCGATAAATGTGTTTAGCTCTCTCTGTTTTTACCTGATGAACGCGGAATGCGAATCTAACGCCTTGTACGATAAGCTCTTCTTCCTCAGGACCGCCACCGCCAATAGCTTCTAGCTCCGCCGATACTCTCTTCATATACTTCATTGCTAGTTTCACAGAGGCCAATTTAATCTGAAAATTTACATTCACAACATTACACACTTAAATACAAACTTTTCAATTCGCCAAGTTGCACACTACACTACAACTTAACCAAGACATTAGAGAATCAGATTCTACTACTACTAGTATGCATTTTTTTTGTTTCCTTGTGTGCATTTGAATAATAACAAATCTCATGAATCCCAAAGCAAATCAAAACAAAGAAAAGAGACAAGAAGATACAATAGAGAAAAATCTTGAAATTCACAGGCGTGCACATAGAAAAACCCCACAAATATTAAAGTAAACACTGTATTCAAGTTTACTTTTTGCTTGTATTCATCTGTAATATTTGTCATGTTGTACATTATTGTTTTACCATGTAAACAAGCAAAACTCAATAATAAAAGAGTGAAAGAAAAGAAAGACAGTGTCAATACAATTTAAACATTTGTCATACCATCAACAATTGACTTTATCAGACAAAAAATGGGGACCATGAGAATTGTTGTTCTTGCTGGTTTTTTTATATATTATCTTCTTCTTCACATTTATATATCAAAAAATGAGTT